AGAGAGAGAGAGAGAGAGAGAGAGAAAGAGAGAGAGCGAAAAAGAGGGCTACTGTATCGATGTGTTGCCAGGTAACACCTGATACTTCGAAAAGGGGCGATTTATATCACACTGCCGAAACTTGAACGTTGCTGCTCGCGATACGTGTTGAGATATTATCACGATGTTATCGATTTAATATCGATTCTATCCCACCACAATTTCTCCCACTTTTTAGACGGACAATTGCTTTTTATCGATGATAGAACGACGATAAGGTGCTCGTGTCTTAACATACGACCGTGTTTGATTTTCTTTTTCTCGCTCGATGAAGAATCACTTTGTGCCAAAAACAAATGTAAATGTAACACCTGCGTCGCGGAGAGATGTGCGCGTAATTATCGACATCTTTTCTCAGACATATTTTCGCAATCGTGGTTCGATTCTGCATTATATTTATTCTTGTGGGTAAAAAGTTTTAGTATATAATTTTTTCGTAAAACGAATGTATTTCTACAGTTTCTCACAAAACGTCCATAGGAAATCTTTACGAATAAGTGTTGCGTGAAATTAATCTTGAAATTAATTGCAATGAGTATCACAATCATACTGATAAAGCTCGAAATAAATTTAAATATAGAAATTACAAGATGTTTAATGCAAATATATATTTTGCAGAGATAACATCTTATATGGCTGTTCATGCTGTAAACAAATTCTCCGCCAGATACACGTACGTTTATAATAAATATCTTGTACTTTCTACATTTTCACATTGGCTTTCTCAGCAAATTCTCAGCAAACGTAATCGTAACAATTGTCTCTCGTTACAATATTTCCTAAGCGTTCGAATTTCCAAACATCATTTTATTAAACTTCAACTTTCGATCGAATAAATAAGTATCAGTTAACCGAAATCGAAACCTTCACGACGATGTGAATAAAATTGTAAATTGAAATAAAAATCGATAGCGAGCTCCGGTCCACGGAACGACCAGATCTCCATTATAATCGAGAGAGATATCGCAACAGGGCGGGGGGGGGGGGGGGGGACGACGACATTGCAACGGTTTGATGGCGGCGAGCGACCGTTGTCGATCATTAGCCTGGTCATTTTTCCTTCCGGCCGGGTAGTCGGCGCTATCTCATCGACAAATTAACACGAAAGTGGTCACACTGTCGTCGAAAGGGGCAGCGAAAGCAGCGGCCATATGTCGTTCACAGGTGAAGCACGTTGGCACCGAGCCAACGTGGATCAGATAACGGATAAGGTCCTGAAGGTAGGTGGGTAATGCGTACAGCACTTTATTACAGTTTAGCCCCGGTTTACCACGGAGGCGGGCTCTCTCATCTGCTCTCTATCCTCGCAGACCTCGCGTCCCGTTCCTTTTCGACTTGGGGCCCTTCCTTCGAGTGGGCCCCAGTGGTGCTCAAATCTGGCCACCGTTCCCTCATTTGACTTGCTAATGAGGCTGCCAGGCGCCCGGGCCCCGGATAATTTTATGCTAACGCGATGGAAATGTTATTCGTCGTACACAGATTTTCGAGATCGCCGATTCCTCTGGGGCGGCCACGCCACCGACACCCAGCGAGAACTTGGTACCACCAAGAGGGTGAGGGATTGTTCCTCGCGAGAGGAACTGTCCGCGCAGGGGGCAACTTAGTATCATAGTATTTCTTTGCAATCGTAAACTCTATCTTGATTATTATTTTATTTATTCATTATTTTTTTATTGTTTCGTCGATTGTCATATCACAATTTATCATTTCAATTGGTTTCAATTTAGTTTGTTAGCCTGCGATTAATTTACTTTCAGTTGTTCAATTCAATTTCCAACTTTCAATCTCATAATTTTGTTATTCGATTGTTTCAATTACCAAGCTTTCGTTATTTAATTATTTCATAACGTTGAGTTATAAATGCCAATGGAACGTTCTCTTATACATGGATATGTAATTATACACGACGTGTAGGTTTTATGAACTTCCCTTTTTCACTCTCCATGTGAATTTTTTAAATCTGTGTATGATCAAGTATCAGTGGTAATAAAGTTATTGATATTACACATTTGGATTACAGGTTCTACTTTCGTATGGGTTTCTTCGTACCATTGCGGCTTATCGTTTAATGATAATTATTAATATTAATCTTCATTGATAAAGGAAAAATGGCGTAAGTGTAAGGTATCGCTTGTTGCATTATGTAGCCGCGCATTTCAGGAAAAGCAACTGGGAGATATTATCTGTTTAGTTGTCAAATTATACCTTTCGTTGCCTAGTAAATTACCCAAAGCATGTAACGCAATAATTCTCGACTCGTTTTGAGATGACCTATCAAATGACTTTAATGACCCGCAGAAAATACCTCTGCAATAAGTATCTAACGGAAGTTAGATGTAGTATGTAGTTCGAATAAGGAACATCAAATCATATTTCACGATGCTCAAAAGAGTTACATTTAATTGTTCAATATTTAATTATTCAAACTCGATTAAATACAAGAAATTATCTAGTATCAAGTTTATAAAATTACTAAATATTATCGAAGTGAAAGGTACGAAGTGGGACAAAATTCAAAGAAACTACCAAAAAATTGCTGGACATTGGAACAATGAACAGTCGAGAGAAAATTCCACAATTATTAAATAGGTAGTAAATAATGATAAAAATAAGCAAATTTCCAGTGTTTCAATATCTAACGAAATCCATTTCGTAACGTGTAACAGCAGAATGAATTATAAAATGTTCTAAAATAAGCTTGAAAACAAAACAAGAAATCGTAATCCATGGAAAAATCATTGATCACCAAAACTAACACTCAAACTACCGACCAGTTAAGACGAAGCTATTTCTACCAAAGCTAGTCAAAATGATTGGTCTTTAAAAAATACGTAGTAATAGAATATTTTCATATTTATTGATTTATTACTTTCTTACAAAAGAAATTTGCCAGGTAAATATTGAATAAATGTGCATCTGGCTTTAGAATTGCAAAGAGTTGTTTGTCAATTGTAACATTTGCACCTAGTTTGTAGCAACTCTGATTATTTTGAATAAACTTATCCCATACAACCGATATCAAAGCAAATTTATCACTTTGTAAACGTTGACTTCATCACTTTTTTGTTTTTTTTATCAAAGCGAATAAATCTCAATATTTCGGTAAAATCATTTCGTAGTGTCGGAAAAGGAGTTTACTCCCCATTTTTTGTTAAATAAATACGAAAGTTTCAAATTTTTTACCTAAAACTCGAGAAGCTTCTAATTCCGTGCAATTTTCTCGATAATTATCACCATCACGTAGAACGATAGCAGTATAAATTCTGTAAAAATGTGTAAAAAATCGCACGAAACTGATTAATTCGGTAAACAGATTGTAGGACTCTTTTGACTCACAGTCATTTTGATTGGTATTGGTATAAGTGGCCACGATAAAAAGATTACTTTGATTTCAAATAAATGAAAATAAAATAAAATTCATTATATTATTTCTTTAGTCATCACTGCAAAAGTCGTTGCATCATTGCGGGGGGAAAAAATATGTAACATGAAATAGAAAATTTTAAAATAAAATTGTAAAACCAGTCGTTTTGACTGGTGTGGTAGTGTCAAACACAAATATCAATCACGCAAAAATTCCCAAGAAGACTTGCCGGAACAATTTAATTCAAATTACAAGTTGACAATATTCCAATATTGCGATAGATTGGGGTCAATTATCAAAGCTACTACCTATCTTTTCCGAACAAGAACGTCGCATATATGTGTGCGTGTGTGCGCATTGAATGGGACCGATATGGAAGCACCACTGGTAGGCAGAACGTTTAAGGGGGCAGCCGTCTCCCTGTTCGTCCGCCTAATAGTTTCAGGGGTTAGGACAAGCATCGCGTGCGTCCCGGGAGCATCTCAGATTCTAATCTGACACTTCCGTCGTCATTGCCACAATTACCCCGACCCACGATATACCGGTGTCCTAATGCCTACCCTCTCGGCGCGTTGTACCGCGTACCCTTGAGCGGCCCGACTGACTATGGACTGCCGGCTCCTGGCGACCCGACCGTGTGTCTTTCGTGTGCGTGCCACATCACACTACACCGCACACCATGTCACAAAGGAAATTGGCCTCATGGACATCTGGCGCTAAACGTTAGATAACGTAAACTCCTATCGAACAGGTTGACCAACTCGGTAATTACTGTTCGAAGGGCTGTACTCTGTCGCTTTTGATGCACTTGGGGTTGTCCCAATTGTTGTTCGTGATAAGACGTATATATATATATATATATATATATATAAGCGGAGATCGGTTGAAATAACATCTTTTTATTTTTTGGGACCGACCAATTTACTCGAACACTCTTTCGGACGATTGCCGGCAGTTTTTTTTGTTTTTTTTTTTTTTAATGATCGTTTTGATATCAACGTTCTTTCATTTCCTTTTTTTTGGGGGAGGGGAGAGACAGTTGTGTAATATATTGGGTCCTTTCTCTCCGTAGGTTTGGACGTACGTTTTGGGGAATTTGTCGTTTGTGGTTGGTGGCTAAAGGGTGGTCGGAGAAATTAGGGAGTGAGAAAAAGTGTGTCCCTTTTTTTTTTTCTCGGTGGTTATAAATTTCCAGGTATACTTGAGCCTTGAGTTTAAATTGGGACGATTCTTTAATGTTGC